TCGCGGGCTCGAGTGAGGAGGGAGAGGAGGTAAGAGGAGGAGGAGGAGGAGGAGGAGGAAGAGGAAGAGAAGGAGGAAGAGGAGGAGGAGGGGGAGAAGGACAAGCTAGGTGCGCTCGCGTCATATCTGACATTCTACCCCTCCCTCCCATCCCTTACCATGTCGCTGATTTTCTCTATCCGCGGACGCGTGTCGTAGCGGACCTGTGGCTCCGCGCGCGCGCGTGCGTAGTGGGTGGTGGTGCACGTGCGTGCGTGCGCGCGTGTGTGCGTGGTTGTCGTGGTGGTGGTGGTGGTGGTGGTGGTGGTGGTAGTGGTAGTGGTGGTGGTGGTGGTGGTGGTGGTGGTGGTGGTGGTGCTGGTGGTGGTGGTGGTGCTGGTGGTGGTGGTGGTGGTGCTGGTGGTGGTGGTGTGGTGGTGGTGGTGGTGGTGTTGGTACTGGTGCTGGTGCTGGTGGTGGGTGGTGGTGGTGGTGGTGGTGGTGGTTGGTGGTGGTGGTGGTGGTGGCGGTGCGGCGCGGTGGTGGCGGGCGGATGGGCGCGCGAGAAAAGGCCCGCGCTGGGGCGAGAACGCCATCCTGAACGACGGAGGCCAAACACCGATCCGAAAATGAGGCCCACGCTGCAGCGGGAGCACGATTCGGAACGATTCGGGAGCAGAAATGAGGCCGGCGCCTCAACGAGAGCAGCATTTTGGGGAAAAATGACGCCGGCGCCTCAGCGAGAGTCGTTTCCCGGGATTTCCCGGGGATCCTGTGTGCTAAAAAACAGTACGCGGAGGGTGCGCGGCCATCACCCGGACGCCATCAGGGGAAGAGGGAGAATATTTTCATATTGAGTAATTGTGGAGGAGGAGGAGGAGAAATTAAAAATACTTCAAAAAATGATTTACACTAATAATCAAGAAAATAGTCTGGGGACTATGTTTTGAGCATTTTTTACATTTTCAGGGCATGTTTGGGGTATCTTGTATTTTTCGTCGAAAATCCCCCTGTATGGGGGACACGCCCGACACAAATCTTGGCGGCTCTTGCGAATCGACGCTCGTCGACGCTAAATCGACGCTAGCCGACGCTAGATCGACGCTCCTCGGCGCTAAATCGACGCTTCAATCGGCGCTGCTTCTCATCGACTCCCAGACGCTGAAGTCGACGCCAGCCTGCGCCGCCAGCCTGCGCTGAAGACAGAACTGCGAGGGTACATCCGGCTCCCGTGACTTGCTGCTGAAGACCCCCCGTCGGGGGCGGCAAAGAGGGGGGCGTCTAAGAGGGGGGGGTGCAAATCATGGCCGGCGGCGTGTGCGCGGCCCCAGGGGGGCGGCCGGGGACGTATTGAAATAAGAAAAGGCGCCAGGAGATCTGAGGAGACATCATGGCCCGCGCCATGATATCCACACACCCCTGGTCATCACCCCCCTCTTTGCCGCCCCCGACCCCGAGGCTCCCGAGGGCAAGGCCCCAGCCCGCGCCCCGACCCCGAGGCTCCCGAGGGTAAGGCCCCAGCCCGCGCCGTCACCGGGCTCGAGTGAGGAGGGAGAGGAGGGAGGGAGGGAGGAGGAAAAGGAGGAGGAGGAGGAGGAGGAGATGGAGGACAAGGAGGAGGAGGAGAAGGAGGAAGAGGAGGAGGAGGAGGACGATGGAGGACAAGGAGGAGGAGGAGGAGGAGGAGGAGGAGGAGGAGGAGGAGAAAGATGGAGGAGGAGGGCCCAGCCCGCCCCGTCACCGGGCACGACGTGCAGAGCAGCGGGGCCGAGCTGCCGAGCGGGCCCGCGCCCTGCGCGGCCCCTGGCCGAGCGCCGCCGCTGTGCATCTCGGGCAGCGCAGCGCGCGGGCTCTCCAGGCTGGGAGGCCCGCCCCGAGAGCTCTGGACGCCAGAGCGTCGAGTTCGGAGGAGGGGGAGGAGGAGGAGGAGGAGGAGGAGGAGGAGGAGGAGGAAGAGGAGGAAGAACAGTTCTCAGAAGGCCGCTCCCGTTGCCCTACTCGGATGCACGCGGCCCCAGGCCGCGTGCTCGGGTCTGCCTCCCCCCCTTCCCACGCCTCCCGGAAGCCGCGCACCATGAGGTCGGCGGAAGTCCCCCCCCGTCCCCGCGACGGGCCTTCAGGTCTCATCTCCTGCGTGGGGCGGAGTCTTATCCATGGAAGGCCCACTTCTCCCCTCCCCTCCTGCTCCACTTGTCCCCAGCTCCTCTGTCCTCCCTCTCCTCACTCGCACTCTCTTGTTCGCTCACACCCAGACTCACTCACATTCAGACTCACGATCAGACTAACCCAGGCGCGTTTGTACTCAGCCGCGCTGATACTCAGATCCTCTCATACTCCAAAACAATCAAACTCATATGCACTCACACACACACACACTCACGCCAAGGGCGGGCCCCGTTCGCGCCAAGCTCTAGGTTTGGGAGAGGTCTCAGGCGGTTTGCCTCTTTAATTGCTTGGACTTCGGTGTTCTCCGGGCAGATTGTGAGGATGTCTCGAGCGAGGCGCTAGCTTCAGCGCCCCTGGCGGCCAGATCGTTGGGGTGTATCTAATTAGCGAGGTGCTCGTTGTTGCACCTCCGACTCCTGTCCATGCAGAGCCCCATGATCACTTCGATTGAGATTCAATGTAGAATAAAGGACGGCCGCCAGGACGGAGAAAGGAGGACTGAGGAGGAAGGAGGACGCAGGAAGAGGGAGAAGAGGGGAGGAAGGAAGAGAAAGGAGGAGGCACGACGAGGAGGAAGAGGACGGAGCGGGGAGGGGGCCTGCTTGCCGCCTGTCTGTCTGTCAGCTGGCGTCGTCGCTGTCCTTCATCGCAGCAGCCGCCGCCGCCGCCGTCGTCGCACTCGTTGCCCTCTCGGACTCGATCTTGCACCCAGGCGCTCACGGTCAGACACTCCCAGCAGGATGTGCCAGGAAATGAGCTGCACGCCTGGGGGACCTGAGCGCCGAATATACTCCCGAGCAGTTTCCCGACAGCCCTGGGGGGGGGGCCTTTCGAGGGCCCGCGGAGGCCGACACCCGCCCAGAACCTCCCGCCGCGCCTCCTCTCTGTTCTTCCTCGACGCGAGCCCTCCGAAAGGGCCGAAGACCTCCCGCTCGCCGACGATAGGGGGCCACATGCGCACCCTACAGGCCCTACCCCTCAGAACTCGCGGGGGGTGGGGGCAGGGTTCGCATGTGGCCCCCTAGACGAGCGGCCGACAGCCTCCCGCCGAAGCCGTCCCCAGAACCTCCCGCAGGGGGGTGGCCTCCTCGACGCCGGCGGCAACCGCGAGGGCGAGGGGGGCGCGCCCCGAGGCGTCGAGCGCGTCTGCCTTGGGGGGGGGGGGGGGGCGCCGCGCTCCCTCGGCCGGTGGGCGCGAGCCAGCAGGCGTCGGGGGGCGCCCAAGAGGGGGGGGGCGCGACGCATGACCTGCGGCAGGTGCGCGACCCAGGGGGCGGCCGGGGGCGCATCGAGGCAATGCAGAGGCGTCATGGGAGCCGTGGAGCTGCGCCATGGCCCCCGCCACGATGTCCCCCCCCCCCCTGGTCACATCACCCCCCTCGTGGCCGCCCCCGGCAGGCGGAGCGCGGCAGCGCGAGGCCGGGGCCAAGACCGCTGGAGCGGGGGCCCTTGAGCATCGGCCTGACATCCTACCAAAGGGCCTGCTGCATTTGCTCGATCTGCACTGAACGGTTCATTCGGGTGGCTCCGATTCTCAAATCCCCAACACCACTGAACAAAAGCAGGAAAACACACGACGCAAGTGCAGCATACAAAACTTGCGTGAAAGTGTGCGGGGCAGGACGCTGCGGAAATGGATAGGGCGCGGGGATTGGGGTGGATGACGAGGGGTGTGTGGATAGGGGGTTGGTGAAGAAATGGACTAGCCTCTCTGTCGTCCTCGACGAGTGGGGCTACAAGCCAAGCCAATCAAGGCAACACTGGAACTTCTCGTATGGCAGCCCGTCGTGGGATCGGCGACTTCGCACGGTCCTATCCCCTCGCTAAGCTTCGCTTGTGAGCTCGGCAGGTGCGCACAAGCGAGGCTGCGACGCTTCCCTGGCGCGGAGGCTGGATTATGAAGAGAAAGGGGTGAGGACGGGGGAGGAGGATGAGGAAGGGGAGGGGGATGGTTTGGGGTAGGGCCTCGGGCTGCGCGCAGACCCCCTCCGAGGTAGCCCAGGCTGGCCTCAACAGGCCCCCCGAGTAGCCTGGGGCGGCCTCAGCGGCGCCAAGGTGTTGAGACCGCCCCTTGAGGCCAGCCCGATCTACCTGGGGGCGCCGTCTGTTCGCCCCCCCACCCGCTGGTCACCCACCTTTGAGAAGTTCAAGGCGAATCGCTCACGAACACGGTGTCCAAAAGATTCTGCCGTGCATCGAACGACTAACGGGGGCATTACGGCCATGTTGGCTTCAACGTTCCCGACGAACCTCTCGCAAGTAGGGTGGTCCTGGTGATGTACTGTTACCTGCAATCACCTTGCCATTGTGAAGTAAAAGGCTCGATTTGTCTCACTAATGCTGCCGACGAACCTTGTCGCTCTCAGCACAACCGCTTTTGACATCCTGGACACTGTTCTGGGTCCAAACGCCCTCCAATTCGACTTTTTCTGCACGGCGGCCCCGTGCATCTCCGCGCTGGACAACGGCTGGAAAGTGTTGAACGTGGGCGGAACCAACTTCAAGGTGGATCACCCCTAGCTTGGGCATGGATAAAGAAGAATTGTCGGACTGGGTGGAGGAGCACCTCGTGCTCCCTGGTGCTATGGGCGTCGGCCCACCCTGGGAAGACGGGGTAAGACGTCATTCCTGCATTGACGAGGGCCAGCACATGCCCGATCAGGCCTGGGCGCTGGACTGGGGAATCGTTTGCCTTGGAGCTCTTCGTTCTCGCGCCTGGTAGGTGAACACCGTCAGCCACGAGTGTAAACCCAGCGCTTGCACACTAGTCAGGGCAGGATACGGCTGTCCAGGGGTTTTACTCGATTGTCCGTTTGTTCGTAGACCCACTGCGGTAAGCACTACTTCAGATTCGTCTACAAGTTAGACGTCGAGCGTGGTCCTCGGGCGCAGCATCCACCAACCCCCTTGCTCGCAACCCCCAGCCTCACCGAGCGGAGGGGCGGAGAGGAGTCAGGGGGGAGGCGGAGGACCTTTCTGGGCGATCCCGCGGGGCCCCCTGCGCGCCTGCATCGGTGGGGGCTCCGACGCACCCAACCATGCACCGGGGAGGGAAACAGAAACGACGGGTGAAAAATCCCGGCCAGCGCTCGAAGCCACACTGCAAGGCTTGTGCGAGCCGGTGTCGACCTGTGAATCCTCCTCCTCCTCCTCCTCCTCCTCCTCCTCCTCCTCACATCTCGAGCTCGAAGTCCCAGAGCGGCACCCGGTCCAGCAAGCTCCAATGCTCTGGCACGGAGAGGATGTTGTTGGCGCAGATGTGCCCGGACATGGCGGCGGCGGGAACGCCGATGCCTGGGGGTTAGCCCAGTGCGCCAGGGGGGCCCGAGGCTTCCCGTCCCCTGGGGGCGGGTGAGAGGAGAGGAGGGAAAGGGGATTTCGACGTGTCTGCAATGGAAATCACTGCTCCTAGGCAGCGAATGCTGTAAGGGTTCTCGATCCTGGGTGGAGGCGCGTCACAGGGGAGACTGACGATTTCGTGGGGCACGATGTGTCTCGCGCAGCCTGTGGAGGTAGGCAATTTGGGAACATCGAAACTGGGTAGGGCGCGCTGGTGGAAACATACATTGGGTAGGGCGCGTAGAGGGTCCAGCGCAACTTTTGGCGCAGGCTTTAGGAGGTGGAAAGAGTGAGGCACACGTAGCTACATAGGGCGCGGAGCGTCTGGCGCAACCCATCAAGAAACCTATAGCATGAGGAAGGTAAACAATATGGCTCTGTAGCCGAAATTCGACAGGGCGCGTGGCCGTCGGCGCAAATGTCTGGCGCACCAGTCGGACACCACAACGGATGAAATAAAGTTCTTAGCCGTTTAGCGGAACACGCCAAGCTTCAACTCAGAAAACTTGAAACTTGAGACTTCAACTTGAGCTTCGGAGTTCCGCTGTTTCGCTGTTCGAGCTTGAGTTCTGGTTTCCGAATGCGAGCCGAACGTGATTTGGCGAGGCTCACGGAGAGTTTGAAGCCAACAACAACTCACAAGCAATACGCATAGTGCATATGATACTAGCCCCGCGTGTTTTGTTTGTTATGTAGTCTCAATGCTGGAGCTTGAGATGCGGATTCCTCGTGCGAGCCGAGCGTGACTTGGGGAGGTCCAGGGAGGGAGCGAGGCACTCAGCGCCAATCACTGCGCGTGGTGCTGCAAAGCAAGTCTTGTTTGAATCGCGATGACGCTTGCACTTCCGTGATTATTGAACTGTATGGTTTGTGCATTGCTCTGATGCCTTGCAGCATGTCGTCGTGTGTTTGCGTTGCGTGTGTTGTTTTGCTGTTGGTGTCTTGGATGTGGCAGGTGCCATGGATTTACTGTTGCGCTGGGTCTCGTGTTAGTGCCATGCTGCTCTGCTGCATGTCACAGTCTTGCATTGCATGTTGGTGCTTGCATCATGTGTGTACTGCGGGTCCTGCCACTATTGTGCATCGCGGTTGCGTTGCATGGCAAGTTGTCATACAATGCTGGTTCTGTCAATGTTCGCTTCAAACTGCAAGCCATTGCAACGCATTGGTCGCATGTAATGTTGTTGCGTTGCGTGTCTGACTGGGCATCGTGTTCTTGCTCTTTCAATGTGTGCTACATTCCAGTTCGGCTGGGCGGCGAGGCGGCTTGGCGCGCCGTCCTGGGGGATCGGCTGGCTGCGCGCCCCGGGCCCGCCCGACTGAGCCGGCGCGGGGCCGTGCGGGCGCGGGCGTTTGCCCCCATCGCCCTACCTTGCCCTCCTCTCCCTCGTCGGCGTCTTCTCCTGTTGTTCCCTCGTCTTGCCGCTGGTCTCTGGTGCGACGGTTAAAAAGTACGTAGAACCCCGCAATTGTGGATAAGAGTGAGGGGGCGGGCGCGGGCGTTGCGGGCATCGAGGTTGCGGATTTCGTGGCCCTCACTTTCCTTGTCGCTGGCGCTCCTCCTCCTCCTCCTCCTCCTCCTTCTCCTCCTCCTCCTCCTCCTCCTCATCCTAGTCCCGCTGCTCCTCTTCCTCCTCGTCCTTGCCCTAGTCCCCCCTCCCCCTTCCCTCCCTCCTCCCTCAGCCGCCCTCCTCCTCCTTCTCCTCCAGATGGTCGCGGATGGTCGCGGGGTCGGTCGCGGGTCGGGGGCTAGCGAAAACAAACCAGCCCACCTTGCGCGCCGATTTGAAATTGCAACGTGCGCGGGGTGGGCGCGGTGGGTCGCGGGGTCGGTCGCGGGTCGCGGGTCGTGAGCAAACGCAAAACAGCCCGCCGCAGGCGCCGAATTTGAAATTGCAACGTGCGCGGGGTGGTCGCGGATGATCACGTGTGGGTCGCGGACGGTCGGTCGGGGGTCGTGGGCGTGAAGTGGGTCGCGGGCGCGGGGTCGCGGGGTGGGTCGCGGGTGGGTCGTGGGTGGGTCGCGGGGTGGGTCGCGGGTGGGTCGTGGGGTGGATCGCGGGGTGGGTCGCGGGGTGGGTCGCGGGTGGGTCGCGAGGCGGGCCACGGGGGGGACGACGCCAAACAAACGAAAAAAACAACAAACAACAAACAACAACAAACAACAACAACAACAACAACAACAACAATCATTTAAGACTGGGGACACTCCGTTCTCACCAGTGCCAGGGTTTTCATAGGAGGCGGGCAATACCCCCACTTTGTGGGGGGGCCGGTTCAAGCTCTACCAAATTTCCAAACGACTCTTCGCCACCACCCACACCCAGCTTCCCGCCCTATGACGTTCGGACACTTCACTTCGTGGCATGCGGACGACCGTGGCTACTATTCAGGGCCCCGCGGCCGACGACGACGGCGTGCGCGCGCGAAGAAAAAACGAATGTGTCCCGCATGGTATTATTTGACAGGGATGATGGCCCTGGCAGGTGCGCAACCGTTGTCGCAGAAGTTCGAAAAAGTTGCTCGCAAAAGCCCGTTTGACAGAAATGTTTAAAAAGTGTTGGGTTTCCTACGAATCCGCAAGAGCGCGCGGGATGAGATTTTGACATTTTTTTGTTGAAAAACCATTGGTTTTTTGATGTTTTTATGTTAAAATCGCTCCGAACACTAAGGTTTTGGAAGGATTTCGTCTTGCGCGCGCGAATGTCCACTTTACCTTATTTTTTGCAAGGGATTCTTGAAATTTGATTATATTAGAACAAGAAATGTCATTTTATAGTGTTTTTTGCAAGGGAAAGCGGATTACAACAAAACAACCGGATCCTGTACACATCTTTTACCTGAGGCTTCCTCACGAAAATGATGAAAATGTAGCTGCGGCCTAGGCGGCGCAGGGGGGGCGCGCACCAGGGGGCCCAACAATAATTATTCTTTAGAATAAATAATGTTTCAGCAGCAGCAGCAGCAACAACAACAACAACACAACAACAACAACAACAACAACAACAACAACAACAACAATCATTTTACCCGAACGCTCAGTGTTCTCACCAGTGCCAGGGTTTTCATGCGACGCGAGACAATACCCCCACTTCGTGGGGGGGCAGTTCAAGCTCTACCAAATATCCAAACGACTCTTCGCGACCACCCAAACCCAGCTTCCCGCCCTATGACGTTGGGACACTTCACTTCGTGGCGTGCGGACGACCGTGGCTACTACACTGGCGTGGGGTACACACCCACAGAACTTGGTCACTTATTCGGGGCGCGCGTGTGCCCAGCATCCTGCAATTGTGACATACAATACATGACACAGACAGACAGAGAGAGAGACAGAGAGCAGACAGAGAGAGAGACAGAGAGAGCGGAGTTGGTCACATTTTTGGGGCAAGTTCCTGAGATCGTCGTGTTTTTTGTTGGTCTTGCGCGCGCGAATGTCCACTTTACTTTTTTTTGCAAGGGATGTTGAAATTTGATTATGTAAGAACAAGAAAAAGTAGCTCGCGCGAGCTTATGTAACATAAATGTTGAAAAACCATTGGTTTTGTGGGAGTCGGACAGCGCGCGCGGGATGAAATTTGGACATTTTTTTTTGAAAAACCATTGGGTTTTTGATGTTTTTATGTTGAAATCGTTACGAAACCTAAGGTTCTGGAAGGATTTCGTCTTGCGCGCGCGAATGTCCACTTTACCTTATTTTTTGCAAGGGATTATTGAAATTTGATTATGTTAGAACAAGAAAAAGTAGCTCGCGCGAGCTCATGTAACATAAATGTTGAAAAACCATTGGTTTTGTGGGATTCGGACAGCGCGCGCGGAAGGACATTTTGACAATTTTTTCTTAAAAAACCATTGGGTTTTTGATGTTTTTATGTTAAAATCGTTACGAAACCTAAGGTTTTGGAAGGATTTCGTCTTGCGCGCACGAATGTCCACTTTACCTTATTTTTTGCAAGGGATTCTTGCAATTTGATCAAGTAAGAACAAGAATTTTCATTTTATGATGTTTTTTGCAAGGGAAAACGAGCGTCAACAAAACAACCGGATCCGGTACCAATCGTTTTGCCTGAGACTTCCTCACGAAAATGATGAAAATGTGGCTGCGGCCTAGGCGCGGCGGGGGGGTCGTGCACCAGGGGTCCCAACAATAATTATTCTTAAGAAGAAATAATGTTCAACAACAACGACGACGACGACGACGACAATCACAACAACAACAACAACAACAAGAATCCGCATCGCGGAATTCCACTTCAGCCACGCACCCAGGGACACTGAATGACCGTTCGGCCCCCTCACTCTGATGTTACGTTCCGGTCCTCGTTTGAGCACTGCGAGTGATTTGCAGTTCAGTCCTGCTGGTTTGCATGTGTGTTGTGGTGTGCTGCTGTGATGTTCGTGCGTTTCCTGTGTTTGTTTGCGGTGAAGGCTTTCGATGGCAGTTCACCGTTTGGGGCATTGCATGATTTTGTCATTGCGTTGCATTGTCGGTCTGGTTTGCATTGTCGGTCTGGCTCAGTTGGCCCTGTTGGTCTAATTCGTCTGGATGGTCCTTGTCATTGTTGGTTGGTCTGGTCTAACTAATCGGGTGGGTCTGGTCTGGTTGTATGGTCGAGTAGCTCATCTGGTTGTTCTAGCTGTTCTGGCCTGGCACGCTCGGCTGGTCTGGTTGGTCTGGCCGGCATCGCTCATCTGATCTGATCCGGTTGGCCTTGTTGGTCTGGTTCGTCTGGCTGATCTGCTTGGCATGGCTGGTTTGGGCTGGCGGTTCCGACGTCTGGTTGGTTTTCTTGGTCTGGCGTGGCTGGTTCACTTGGTCTGGTTGGTCTGGCTTGTCCAGTTGGTCTGGTCGGCAGGGTGCGTTCGGATGCGGTCTGGGTTAGTCGGTATCCTCAGCTTAGTCGCGCAGGTTCTTAATCTTGTCTGGTTGACTGGGTTGGGTTGGTTTGTTCGGATCGCTTTGCTGGCCTTCGTCGGTTGATCTAGTTTGGTTGGCATGGCTTGTCGAGTATATCGTCTGGCTGGTCTGGTTTGGTCGGCTTGGTCTGGTCTGGCTGGTTGGTCTTGGTTGATTAGTCGATTTGGCTGGTCCAGCTAGCTTGGCTGGCGTTCATGGTCTGCCTGCTGCGCAGGACTTCGCCGAGAACGGGGACCAGCAAGGAGCAACAGAAGCGGCGACATCACGGCCAACATCAGCGCGCGGAGGCGGACATATCTGAGGAGGATCGGAGGGAGGATCGAGAAAGGAAAATCTGAATCAGCAGCCATATCAAGTCCTGTCAGTTCTTCTGCCCCCAGCGAGGGTTCGGCGCTGGGGCGTCAGAACTGTTCGCTTCGAGTGGCTTAGAATGCAGAGACAGCGCAAAGAAATCGCGATTTGGTGGCGCGCTGTGTCTGGCGCATCCTTTGCAAGGTCGACGGATTGGGGACATCTCGATTCGGTGGTGCGCGGGGTGTCTGGCTCAATCTCTAGCGCAACTATGCAAGTTCAGCGGACTGGGGATATGTGTCCATGTGGTGGTGTGCGGGGTTGCTGGCCTAGTCTCTGGCGCAGCTAATGCAAGGTTGACGCGGTGGTGGATATCGCGATTTGGCGGTGCGCGGGGTGTCTGCCGAGTTGGCGCAACCAATGGAGCAACCGATGCAAGGTATAGACTGAGTAGAAAAATGGCTGTGTGGTCGTGCGCGGGGTGGACGGCGCAACCGATGGCAGGTAGACGGAGTGGAGAAACACCAGTACTCGCTTGAGTGAGGCCTACAACGCTACCTGCGGCGCAACTTGTGGCATATGCTCGCATGTTGTTTAGAAATTCTGAGCGGGGTGAGATCGTGTCCAGGGCTTGCTCTCAGCCAGCTCGTGACATCCAGAAGAAGAGGGGGGCCGTGCAAGCCCAACCCGCACCTGCCACGCACGGCTGACTGGAAGAAGGGGAGGGGAAGAGGAAAGGAAGAAGGAAGGGAGGGCGTCAGCCAGGAGGGAGGACGGACGGAAGCTTACCAAGACCACAGTTCCAGCTGCCCCGCGCGCCGGGGTAGGTCGAGTCCCCACACATGTGCAGCCCCGGCAGCGGCGTCGTGTGGCCAGGTAGGTTGGCCCCCGCGAGGACGCGCCAGCCGTAGGCGCCCTTGGGCTTCCTGACAGGAGATCTCGTCAGCCCAGAGGACATCCCCCGTCCCCAGCACTCGCACGCCCCCCCCCAGCCCCCCCGTCCCCACGGCCACAACGGACCTCGAAGGCCCCAAAATTGGCCAAGAGGGCCCAAACAAGGCACCAAGACGCTCCAAGAGGGCTCCGAGTCGCCGAAAAATCGCGCCGAGACGCCCGAGATGACCCCGAGACGGCTCTAGAAGCCTCCCAAACGCACCAAGAGGCCATTCAGAGGCCTCCTACGAGGGAACAAATCAATCTCCCTTCGGAACGCGTTCCATGTTTGGCATATTCGCCTCTTGAGATTCCACAGCGTCTAAGGGAGATGGCCCAAAGGGCCCCGAAGAGCGCTCCAAGACGGCCCAAGACGGCCCAAAGACGGCGCAAGAGGCGGCCAGACGGCGAAAGAGGGCCGCCTTTACGAGGTACGAGGCTGACCGGAGGGGGGGGAATCAAATTTCGAGCCTTCGGCCCCAAGACGCCCCCAGGAGGCCCCTAGAGGCCCTCGAGAGGCCCCCAGAGTGCCCCAAGAGGCCCCCTTAGAGGTCCAAACATTTCCTCCGAGACGCTCCCAGTAGGCCTCCAAGATGCCTCCAAGACGCTCCCGAAGGGGCCCTGTTTCTGTTTCCTCGATGCCTAACGCGATGATTGCCTGCCATGCTGGTCTGCCGTGCTGGTCAGTCGACCTAGTCTGCCGCCTCAGGCGTATGATGGACCTTGTGGGCCGTCGAGGGCTCTGGGGGCTCTCGTCGTTCTTTTGGGGGCCTCTTGCGAGCTTCAAATTATCCTGGCGAAGGGCCCAACCATATACAGGTGTGGGTACCGCAATAGTATGTGAATATCTTTCGGTGAGGCTCCCCATGTGGCCACGAAGCGCTGCACTAGGTGGGGGGAGCGCATGCGGGCGGTAGCACTGGGGCCGTCGGTGGAGCTCCCGATGGGGCCACGAAGCTGACTGGGCCACCAAGGGGTCGAACATTATATTAAGGATCCGCAGCGCTAATATGATGCGAGCTTGGCGTGATGATGGTAATGAAGCGCTATACTGCGAGGGTGAAAAACCACACTGGGCGTGTGGCACGCATGCGTGCGGTCCCACTGGGGGCGTCCGTGGGCCTCCCTATGGGGCCACGAAGCGCTGTGTGCTGGGCGTGTGAAAATGCGAAAGTGGGCTTTCGGAGCGCATGCGGGCGGTCCCACTGGGGGTTTTGGTGGAGTTCCCTATGGGGCCACGAAACGCTGTGCTGGGTGGGCGAAAGTGTCAAATTGGGCGTGTGGGACGCATGCGAGCGATCCCACTGGGGGCTTCGCTGGAGCTCGCCATGGGGCCACGAAACGCTGTAATGGGTGGGTGAAAATGCCAAATCTGCTGTTTCCGAACGCGTGCGGACGGTCCCATGGGGGCTTCGGTGGAGCTCGCCATGGGGCCACGAAGCGCTGTACTGGGTGATTGAAAATGCCAAATTGGGTGCGCGGGACGCATGAGGACGGTCCCACTGGGGCCTTCGGTAGCGCTCCCATGGGGCCACGAAACGCTGTACTGGATGTGCGGGACGCATGCGGACGGTAGCACTGGGACCTTCGGTGGGGCTCCCTATGGTGCCACGAAACAAAGTACTGGGTCTGCGGGGCGCATGCGGACGGTAGCACTGGGACCTTCGGTGGGGCTCCATATGGGGCCACGAAACGTGAAGGGTGTGCTGAAACGGGTGATGATGATGATGATGATGCTGATGATGATGATGATGATGATGATGGTGGTGATGATGGTGATGATGATGATGATGATGATGATGATGATGATGATGGTGGTGGTGGTGGTGGTGGTGGTGGTGGTGATGATGATGATGATGATGATGATGATGATGATGATGAAGTTTCTGATGATTCTGATGATAGTGATGGAGGAGGAAGGGGAGGAGGAGGAAAAGGCGGAGAATGCGGAGACCGTGACTTCAAACCGAGGACCCAGCACCACAGGATGGTTGGGAAAAAACGCTGTTCGGAGCCTGCTGGGAACCTCGTGCAGGATTCCAGAGACCTCTGGGACTCACAGGGCAGGTCTAGAGAGTATGCGCGAGCTCTCTGGGGACGTCGTGGCTTCCTCGGGGGCCGACGTGGAGGCTCTCCAGGACAGCATGGGAGACTCTGGTCTGCAACTGCCTTGCCTGCTCCGCCCCGCTGCTGCCTCGCCACGTCGCTTCCACCCCTGCTGGCGCCAAAGGAAACCTAAATTGAGCAGGGACCGACCGTCCTGGCATTCCTATAGTCCTACCACGAAATTGTCTTAGAGCCCCAAAATGTTCTAATAACAAAACAATGTTCGTAGAACATAAACCCGATGTGATAAAACACGACAGTCCCAACCAGAAATGTTCCAAGAACATTTCGTAGGAACCGCACACAGTTGTCAGACTATTGTTTGGTAGGGCTATAGGCGAGCCAGGACGCTTCACCACTGCTTGACTAAAGGGCCCCTTCCGGTCCCCTGTCTGAACCCTCAATTTCAGAGGCCAGCCCTCCTCGCCGCCCGCCCGACTGGGGAGGAAACGAAAAGGGACCGGCCGCCTCGGAAGGCGGCGGGCCTCTCCGCAGCCCTGGCGCCCTCTGAGCAGTCTTCTAAGATAGGCCGTGCCCGAAGACAGGCTCAGGTCGGGCCTGTCCCCCTACAGGGGGATCTTGGTCGAAAAATTAAAAATGCCCATGCAATACTCCCAGAATGCTAAACAAAATAGTCCAACAAAATCCTCCCTAGACTATTTGTTCGACTACCTTTGAACATCCCCCCTGTAGAGGGACAGGCCCGGATGAATTCTGGGCCGTCCCCCAGAAGGCGCGCGAGAACCTCTGAGAATCCCAGAAGACGCAAGAGAACCTCTAAGACAGCCTCTGAGAACCTCTGAGAACCTCTGAGAGTCTCTGAGACAGCCTCTGAGAACCTCTAAGACACCGACGCCCCCACAGAATGCTAAACAATAGTCCAACCAAATCGTCCCCAGACTATTTTTTCGACTACCTTTGAACATCCCCCTGTAGAGGGACAGGCCCGACTTCTCATCCTGGGCCGTCCCCGAAGACAGCGACGCCCCTCCGGTCGGCGCGCGAGGACCTCCGAGAACCTCCGAGAAGGCCCTCTGCGAGAGGGCCCCGCCGCCCTCTCGGCGAGCGCAGCCCCTCGGCGCGCCGCCGGGGCTGCGGCAGAGCCGGGCTCACGTCGGGCATGCCCCCCCTACCGGGGGATTTTGGACGGAAAATAAAACATGGTAAACCAAAAAAAATACCCAAGAACATTTTACAAAAGCCCAACAGCCGTTCCCGGACTATTTTTGGGACTATTTCTGAACAGTCCTCCTGTGGAGGGACATGCCCGGCTCCAAGCCAGGCCCCCGACGTCATGACTTGTTCATAACATCGACCCCCAGAGGCCTCGACCCCTTCCTCCGGACCGGTCTCTCGTCCTGAGTCTTTGCTTGACGGTCCCGAGGCCTGGCGGGGACCCACAGAGGCCGAACATAGCGAGAAGCCTCCCGTCGCGAACCTTTCCGGACCCGATAGGGGGGTCTGGGGGAGCGCCCTCCGACCTGAGGAAACGCTCGTGCGTCAGGGGCGTGCCGACCCGCTCGAACACCACCCGGCTCCGGATGTCGGGCAGCTGGCGGCGCGGTCAGGGAGCATCCCCGAGAGGGCCAGGAGGAGCGCCCAGGCGCCACCCGAGCGGACCCTCCAGAAGGCCCCCCGAAGGAGCTCGAGCCAGCTCTTTTCGGAGGCTGCCAGAGCTGACTCTGGACTGAGGTGACACGTCGTCGTCGTCGTCGTCGTCGTGGGACCGGTTTTCGAAGGAAGGCCAAGACAGCCTACAGAGAGCAGCCCCGACGACTCCCAGAGGGCTCCAGAGAGTTCCAGACTGGCCCGAAATGCTGGGGGCGCCGTGGGCCAAACTCATCTGTGCCAACCTCCGATCTTTCTGAACGGTTCCCGTGTTGTCTGCCCCTCGAACGGTCTGTCTGGCTACGACCTGGCCCCTCTGGCCCTCAGGGTGGCCACCTGACCACGAAGATGGCGCTCTATTGCGCTGTAGAGGAAGTCGGCCGCCTCCTGCTTCTTCCGCTTGTACTCGTCGGAGCCGCGATCCAGGCCCTCCCACTCGGTCCACGGCTCCGTGGCAGGGGTGTAGGCGTGCAGCGCGTGGTAGCCCTCCGGCGCGCAGGCTGGGTCCAGCAGCGACGACACGCTCACGAGCACCATGTTGCGGGGTGCTTCCAGGTCGGCCCAGTCGTTCACCACGCCCCACTGGGCGGGGAACTCGGGGCAGTGGGCCTTCTTGAGTGGCCACTCCCATGCTCTCTTGCTGGCTTTTGCGAATCCACGCTGGCCGACGCTAGTCGACGCCGATCGAACCTGAATCGAGGCTAAATCGGCGCTGTCGTGAGCGCACGTGAGGGCAGACGCCAGCGCACGTGAGTGCACTCTAGACACGGAATTTGCTCCCATGGTTTGATGCCGTAGCCTTCGGCAGCCCGTCCCCGCGGAACCCCAGGTGGATGTGGATGAAGGAGCCGAGCGGCTCGAAGGGCTCCCACTGCTCGCCGAAGTAGCGCTCGAGCTCGGGAGACGCGCCCTTCGGCACGAGCCGCCGAGTGACACCAACGTCCGCGTTGCTGACCACCTCCTTGGCCCGGATCTCGCTGCCATCCCTGAGCAGAACGCCGCAGGCGCGGCCATCCTCGACGATGATCTGCTCCACGTGCGCGCGCGTCAGCACCTGGTTGCCAGGGTGCTTCGTGATGCCTCGCGCGAGAGCGTCCACGATGGCCTCGGAGCCTCCCCTGGGGTAGTCCAGGCAGGTGCCCCCCCTGCGGTACAGATCCGCCATCATGTATGCCATCATGGAGGTCGGCGCGCCGTAGCTGGGCAGCCCCTGCAGCAGGAAGCAGAACATACTCAGGTAGTTCTTGATGAACTGGTCCTGGACGCCGTTCGCCTCCATGAAGGGGCCGAAAGGCTCGCTCAACTTCTCTGGGCCGCCAGGCACCGACTTGAGCCGGCTCCAATAGCGCCCCAACGTGGCTACTGCGGTCCAATCGTCCCGAATGGCACAGAACGGTGGGCTGTTGTACACCGCCTCGGAGAAGGGCTTCAGCGAAGTCATTAACCGCTTCCACTGGTCCACAGCGCCCGCGCCTCCAAACTTCGGGAGAAGATCCTCGACCACTGGCTTGTAACCCACCGCTACGTTGACCTCGCCCTCTGGCATGAACGCATTCCAGCGGTCGTACGTGATCCACTCGGGCTCCTCGCCGATCACCTGGAACACGTGCTTGAGCTGCGACGGCGTCGCGTTGGGGCTCAGGCCACTGTACAGCGAGGGCCCCGACTCGAAGTGGAACTCCCCGACGTCGTTGACCCTCTCGCGGAACATGTGGCAGGCACCGCCCAGATGGTAGTGCGACTCGCACACCTTGAGGAGACGCAGACCTCGATTAGCGAACGCCCCGTTCCCGTACACTCTCGGCGCGCTCCCTCGCAAAATCGAGCGGCACGAGTCCGTCGCAGACTTCTGAATCAGGTCCGAATCAGTGCTTGCGCGTGTGCCCGAGCACGCTACCGCTGCTCCCCGGGCCCCTCCCGGGGTGCCTTCTGCCCGGGGCTTCGAGGAGAATCCGGCCGTGGCGACGAAGGCGCTCCATAGGACGAGCGGCGACGTGGCTGCCCTCCTCTCCTCCGAGCACCGTCACCCGGCGCCCGGCCGCAGCCAGCACGCCCCCGCAGCTCAGCCCGCCGAGGCCGCTGCCCACGATGACGACGTCGGTCTCGTGGGACCTGCTGGCGACTCCGAAGGGTGTGGTTTGCAACCCGCGCCTGTGGGGGCGGGGGCGGCCGAGGACCTCGACGACAGAGTTCGCCACCGCGTCCCGAGGACTCTCGACGAGGGCAACGTGGAGCACAACAAAAACATCCGAACCCTACTGGCAGAGTGGAGACTTGGCCTCGCTTAGGTTCCTCTCTTGGAAATAGGGATAACAGCTATGGGTGGTTTGGTTCGGTACATCTGCAGATGAGATCCCAAGCCTTAACTGCAAACATCGCAAATCACACCCCGCCATGACCGCACCCGTTGTAGTGGCCGAGCACCGGCCCCTGCCGCTACTGTCACCGGCACCATCCGTGACGCGGTCCTCGTCGTCTGAGCACTGCTGTGGCCGCATGCATACGTGCTGGGTGATCGGCGGCGAGCCCGGGAGGTGGGGACGGGGCAGCGAAGCGGAGGTGGAGGAAGGCAGGAAGGGAGTGACGAGAGGGAGCGGGGATGCGAAACGATCTGCACACATCCCGAGGAGAGGGACCCAGACATGTCTTCGTCGCGGCGCGGCAGAGGCACTCCGCTAGCGCTCTGCATTAGCTGGGGAAAGTTTGGAAGCCCCCTTCGGAGCAGTCCTCTGAACCGTTCGCGAAGGCACAGAAAACCCCCTCGGGAGGCGCGAGGGCTCCTGAGAAGTCCCGCCGCCGTCTGCGAAGCCCAACTCCTCATCATCATTTCCCCCTCTCGCTCGCCGCCGGGGTGAGGCGAGAGGGACGTCACGGAAGGGGATGGTTTGCTCGGGGTAGGTCGGGCATGTTCTCCTACAGGCGGATTCTGGAAGAAAATCAAACATGGTCAAAAAGTGCGCAAACCTGTCCGAACATTGCCAAATATCGTCCCCGGACTATTCTTTTGACTATTTTTGCAGATTCCTCCTGTCGGGGGGCATGCCCGACTCACTGCTGGGGGTCGGTCAGGCCGCCCCTGAACCTTGCGGCTCGGCAGGCCAGGCGCTTCCGGCGCCGACGAGCCGCGGCCGCCGCGGCCAGCGCGGAGCCAGCCCAGGCGAGCCTGCGTGGCCTCCTGCCGCTGAGCGGGCCACCGCTGCCCCAGTGGCGCGGGCCGCGGTCGCCGCCGATCGCAGCGGCGGCCTCGAGAGCGTTTCCCCTGATCCTACCCCCCTTTAACATCTGTTGCGAGGAGAGGGGGTGGGGCCCCGACGGGGATGTAACGGTGACGTGGTCGGGCCCCGCGGTGTGGGCCTGGGCGCCGGACGACGGGGTCGACGACGACAACGACGACGACGACGACGGGGACGCGAACGAGGACGAGGACGAGGACGACGAGGAGGACGACGACGACGACGAAGACGACGATGACAGGGACGACGACGACGGCGACGACGACGACGACAACGACGACCACGACGACGACGACGCCGACGGCCGCCTCTGAAGGTCTCTGGAAGTCTCCAAGATTCCTGAAAAGATCTCTGGAGACCTCTGGGGGCGTTTAAAGGCCCTTCGAGGCTCTCGGCGACGAAGACGACGACATCGACGAGGACGATGACGAGCACGAGAGGGACGGCAACGACGACAGGGACGAGGTAGGGGACGACGACGACGATGACGACGATGACTAAAACGACGACCACGACAGAGACGATAACGACGACGACGCTGACGACGACGACGACGACGACAGCTCCAACAACGACGACGGAAACAATGACGACGACAGGGGCGGGGCCGGAGCGACGAGGATGATGAGAACGAGGACGAGATCGACGACGACGACGAGGACGACGACGACAAGGGCGAGCAAGGGAGACGACGAGGATGACAAACGACGATGACGAAGACGACAACGACGGCGACAACGACGACGAGAACGCCGACGTCGCTGACGACGACGAGGACGACGCCGACGGCCACCTCTGAAGGTCTTCAGAATTCCCTGAGGCCTGAGAAGGTACCCGGAGGTCTCTGGAGACGTCAGGAGGCACTTCGATGCCATCATAAACGACGACAAGGACGAGGGCGAGGACAAGGGCGAGGACGACGACAAGGAGCATGACGACGACAACGACGACAACGAAGACGACGACGACGACGCCGACCACACGGACCACGAAGATCACGATCCCGATCACGATCACGACGACGTCGACGACGACAACGACGGCGACGACGACAACGACGGCTGCCTCTGGAGGCGTCTGGGGGCTCTCCGGTTTCTGTCAGCACCAACCCGTGCCCGTGAGCACGGCGCCGTAAATGCGGGGGAGCCGGCAACCTCTCCCCGCACGTTCGCTACCGTTACAGGACGGGGGGGGGGCGCGGAGGCCGCCGCAGGAAGTCGCCTTCGACGTGGTCGTCGTTGTCGTCGCCGTCGTCGCCGTCGACGTCGTCGTCGCCTCTCTCGTCTTTCGTGTCGTCGTCCTCCTCCTCTCCCCGTGACGGACATTAAGCATTCAAGGAATAAAAAACAGTCTCCTTGCCCTCGGCGGCGCGCGGCCGCGGCGCCCCCAGCGCCCGGACGGACGCGTGCGCACCCGCGAACGGCAAGGCCAGGCCGAGAGCAGTTCCTCCTGCCGCGGCCTCCATCTGGCGGGCGCCCGGCAGGCCTCGAGCCGAGATGGGTGGTTCATGCTCCGCGAGGGCTCATTGGCCACGAACGCCGTGGACGGCCAGGACCACCAAAATCAAGCAAATCCACGACCCCGCCGAGCTCAAAACGAGCAACTGAAACCACCCGACCGAACGATCCAGCGGCGCCCCAGAGCAACAGGGACAGGCGGGAGAACTAGGAGAACCCGAAACGGACAAGCTCCCGCTGCACTGTGGACAACAGGAACACCCCGGAACATCCACAACCAAACAGTCAGCAATACCCCAGGGCTCCGCTCTCGCCTGCGGGCGGCCCGCTGCCTGTGCGCGGCTTCGCGCCAGAGAAAGCATCCAGCTGGTGCTGGCATCGCTTCTCGTGTCAGTGAAAGGAAAGTTGATGAGGGCGGGGCCCGCTGACTGGCTTGAGCTGGCCAGCTTGGCTCCTCCCGCTCCGGCTCGCTCCCCCGCCTGGCTCCCTCCCTCGTCCCCTCATCGAAAGACGTCGGGTGGCCACCTCGCCGGTCCTGGCCAGGCCCATCCTGGGCCCAGGATGCGTGCGCACGCCCTCCCTGCCTGGCCAGGGAATCACACTGCACAGATCCTGGGCCCGGGGCCGAAGCGGCCAGCCGAGGGCCCGCCAGCCTCCCTCCCTGCCCCGGACTGGCGCCCCCGGGCGACACCACGAACGGCTCTGAGGCGCCCCCGCTGCAGCCGGGACCGCTGGCAGGGATGACGCAAGCCGCGTCCGAGTGCAGCCCATGCCCCAATAATGAGGGGGAGACAAAGGCACCCTTGATCTTGCAGGGTGAATGTTCCAGTCAGGCTCGACTGTACCAGCCCAAGACGAGCCGCCGGTTGAAGACATCTTGCGTTGCGTCTCGGGGGGCCTTGTCTGTCCGATCGCGCCGCTGTCTGCATCTATTGCGCACCGAATTCATGTCAAGACGCCTCGAATCCACGCCCGCGCCGAGCGTGCCGACTCCGCGTCGAACCCGCGCCGAGCGTGCCGAATCCGCGTCGGATGCAGGGAAACGCGCAGCCTGTTGCATAGGCGACAGCTCCTCCTCAAGGTGCGGCCGAAGGTGCAGCGAGCGAGCTGGACGCGGCCAGAGATCTGCGCCCATGGGCCCCGAGAAAATCTGTCAAGAGTGGGGGGGTCGAGGGCAAAGCCGCTCAGGTGTCGAAACTGAGCCGTGGCGACAAAGGGGACCCCTCTCTCCCCCCGCCCTGCTGGCTGGAGCCAGTGCCAGGCCACCAAGCCCCCATGCCAGCTCAGACGTGAGAGACCTCGTGGGCGAAACACATCACCGTGTCCGCGGCCTCGCGGGCCTCTGCTCTTGTGCCGTGACCCCGCGGATGCCCCTGTGCCGTGACCCCGCGGATACGGCGCGACGCTTCGCGGATGCCCCACGCGGCGCGTATCCATGGGGCCCGCCGACACTGGCGGCTTTGTTTGCAAATTCGCCCCGTACCGTGACCCGGACGCCGCTTTCGCTCCTTGTCCGTTGCCTCGGAACCGCCGACCAAAAAAGTATCCGTGGGGCCGCGCGTCCGCGGACCGTGCGACCGCATGTCCGCGGGATCGCGCCCGAGAGCCCTGACCGCAAGGGCGCGGCGCTGGCTGTCTTCGCCGCACCGTGCAGGGCAGCCCCCGAGCGCCGGGCCCTCGCGGAGCGCTCCAGCAGCAGCCTCGCCACGTCCGCCGCCGCGGTGCCCCTGGCCGCCAGGCCGGCGCAGGTGTGCAGCGCGGTGCGGCCGTGGGCGTCCCTGGCGGCCGGGGCGACAAAGGTGGCGCCTGGACCTCTGGGGACCCAGAGAGGTACACACGGCGCATCTGTACAAATGCGTCGTGACGCCTCGCTTCTTGCGAGCATGTGAGGGTGCCACGTCCGCGCGCATGGACCACACCCTCCAGCGAGCAGTCATTTCTGAATCAGGCTCCAGCTTGCGATGTACCTCTGGAGAGTTGAGGCTGCGTCTGCTGCCACAGCGGGAGGGGGGCATATAGTCTCATACTGTTCCTTGGTGCGTGGCGGGCTGAAGGGATCTACGCCGCGCATGGTCCTCATTCGTGCCGTCGCCGTCCCGCGCTGCTCCCCTCGACCCATCCGCGGCCCGCCCGCCGCCTGCCTGCGGCCTGCCCCCCGAGAGGCTCAGGGTCGACCCGCGGCCCACTCGCACACGACCTGCGGCCCACCCGCGACCCAAATCACGACCCGCCCGCGATCCGCACGCGATCAGGAGAGGGCAACCCTTCAGCGAAAGGACGGGGCAATCTGTGGACTTCTTGGCGTATGCAGGCCTTACAAAGTTACTATAGGTCTGCTCCTTCGATCTGCTGCACCTGGAGCTGAATTAGAGACTGTGTCGTCATCTCGAGTTCTCGTTCCCCCTCCTCCCTTTTCCCCCCAAGCGCAAGAAGCTGAATGGACCTGAGAGGGGGGAACACTACGCAATGACGCTCTTCGCATGTCGCTGACAAGTTTAAGAGATGGTGCCAGTAGACAACCATCAATTCTACGCTGGCCGTGAGGGGACATTTGGTCTCTCGTTAGCCATGGGCACTCGGATGCAGGGGATGCCACCGTAGGTATCACTTCTGTCGTCGGAGCCAGAATCGGAGCATGTCGAGAACTCAAGCCGTCAAACCATGTCAGTGATCTTTCCCCACTCGTGTTTCTCAAACAGCGCGTGCACATACTGTGAAAGGCTCCCACTTCTGCCGCTGAGGGATTGGCCGAATCCACCGAGGCTTCGCAGCGTCGCCTCCCGTGACCGCCTCGTTGGCCGCCAACTTGGGGGGGTCCGCCGAGGTTTCGCCGCGCCGCCGCCCCTGGCCGCCTCGTTGGCCGCCTCGCCGCCGCCCGCTTGTTTTGGTTGGCCCGCGGCCCCCCGCTGCCGCCTCGCCGCCGCCTCGCTGCCGCCTCGCTGCCGCCTCGCCGCCGCGTGGGGCGTCCGCCGAGCACTCGCCCCGTTCCCGCCCGCTGCTGCCCGCTGCGCCTCGCTGCCGCCGGGGAGGTCCGCCGAAGCGTCGCCACGCCGTCGCCCGCTGCCGCCCGTTGCCCCCTGGGGGGTCCGCCGAGGCTTCGCCACGCTGCCGCACGTTGCCGCCCGCTGCCGCCCGGTTGCCGCTCGGGGGGTCCGCCAAAGATCCACCACGTTGCCGCCCGTTGCCGCCCGTTGCCAGGGTCACATCGTTGCCGCCTGGGGAGTCCGCCGAAGATTGGCCGCCTTCCCGCCCGTTGCTGCCCGCTGGTCGCTCCCCGCCCGAATCAACACATTGCTTACGCCACATCGCTTGCACCACATCGCTTACACCACCCACCTTCAACCGCGTAGCTACCGACGCAGATCTCACAGCACATAGCTTGCACCCCATGGCTTGCAACGCATAGCCGGCACATCCGCAGTACCACCACTGACTTTTTGGGGTCGGCGCTGGCTAACATTGTTTTTTTTGGAGTTGGGGCTACACCCTGCGAAATGCTTAAGAAATCATGGGATAAGAAATTCATAGTCTCAGAACTTGAATAAAAACCCAGCATTTCTATCAACATCGTGGGATTTACATTGAAAACTTCAGAATAATCGAGACTCTGGACGAAAACTTAGGTTTTCTTAAGCATCGCCTAGGGTGTACTAGCTCAAACTGTTCTCATGCGCTTGGAAAACGAGCCATCGACCCCGAGCGCCCGCCCCTCGCCCATCTCATCCCGCTCCCGTGCCCTCCAGCCGCCGTTGGTGCGTAGCTTCGACGAAACAGACATTCTGGGGAACATTCATCATGCGGTCGATCTCCTATCTGCAGTGTGCAGCCAGGAGGTGAAGCGAGGAGGCTGCTTCTCCTGTGGACCCTTCACCTGTGGATAAGGCCAGCGCCTTCTAAGAACCTCCCCCTCCCCCTCCCTAGCCCGCTCCGCGCGTGGCCCAAGACGGGGTCTGAAGATCGCGCCGCATCGGCGATGCATCGGCGCCGTCGGCGTGGTAGAACGCCCGGCTCCGCATCGGGCCGCATCGCCGACGCATCGGCGATGCGGCGCGACCCTCCGATCCCAATGCCGTCCACTCGGGCCCCATGTGGGAGGCCTGGGCCCAGATCCCAGACGTCATGATGTCTCATGGCGTCGACCCCCAGAGGTCTCGACCCGCAGAGGCGCGGAGGAAGGAGCAGAGAGCATTTAGCAGGGGCCAGGGACACACCACATAGATGGACACCAACCCAGGATTCCCACCGTTGTCCATATGGTCTGGATTTCCGTCTCCCCATCCACTTCCCATACTGATCCATATTTTCCTGGGAATCGACGATTACAAGTCGGTCGGAAGAAACATGTAAAAACATACAGCAGGAAGGCGGATCAAGTCCGTGGGTTTAGGCCTGCCCAGAGATTAACAAAACACAGCAGATGCAGATCGATTCTTGAAGCAGGAAGGCGCTTGAAGTAGATTGGGATCCGGGAATATAGAAATACCTACTTTCAACGACCGACGTGTGTTTGTGTCTGTGTGTGTTCCCTCCTGAGCGTGGCCTGCAGGCGAGCAGGTTCGCGGCGCACTGCCCCGCCTGGTCGAGCTGCTCGCGGACCTCCTGGCAGACGGGCGAGCGGAGGCGCGGGACGCAGCAGTGGCTGAGGCGGGACGTCGCAGCAGCGAAGGGGGAAAGGGCAAGGGGAATGTGAGGGGGAAAACGTTCTCCTCTTCCTCCTCGTCGTCGTCCTCGTCCTCGTCCTCCTCCTCCTCCTCCTCCTCCTCCTGGTCCTCCTCCCCCGTCCGCCGCAGGAATACAGCGAAGGCAATCTACCGCAAGGATACGAGGATCGAAGGAGGAATATATACCCATACCGGTACGGTCGGACCTGAGACAGAAGAGCATCCTTGAAGAACATGAGACCCTCCGCCAGCCAAACTGAAGAACATTCAAGGGTGCGCTTGCTCAGAATGCACACAAAGAAACAACAAACGCGGAGAACGTTAGGGTACCATCCCCGAACCAACCT